TTCATGATTAGTTTCCAAGCAAAATAGCCTGCCTCTGTTGATATAAACAAAACCTAATCAGATCAAGTTTGTTTAGTTACTACCTCCGTTTGTTCAAATGGAAATATATGTGAGATAGTCATTTTGCAACTACTTGTCAGATGTAGGCTGAAGCTGGAAAGGGATGTAAGCTAGATGGAATTTTTAAAATATTTTGTTTCAGACCTTGCTTAGGAAACATCTCTGAAAATAATGATGGAATTATTACCATCCGTTCAAATTACAAATACTAGTCATGAAATATCTCCACATATCCTGTCACCAAGTCAACTTTATTTACACTGAACATTCCTTGACTTTAATACTGCCTCTTCAGAGTCAGCTATCAGAGAGTCAGTATCTCTGACGCTCGCCTTTTTTTTAATCTGTCAGCCAGAGCTCCCTGATTGGACCACCTTAACAGTCCCAAACAGGAAATCCTGTTCTGACGTCCAGCTGGTTAACCTCATTATAATCACAAAAATTCATACTACAATTACTAGCCCATTAATAATCAAAGCTCCCTGAAAGGAACTGGCCAGTGTGAATGGTCTTTTGTGATTTGACTTGATTGACGGCTGTGTGCTCCATGCACACTAAAGAATCATAGAATCCCTACAGTGTGGAAACAGGCCCTTCACCACCCCCCCCCCCCACCCCGAGTCCACACCAACCCTCAGAGCATCTCACCCAGACCTATCCCCCTATAACCCACCTAATCTGCACATCCCTGAACACTATGGGCACTAGCCTGCAATCCATCTAGCCTGCACATTTTTGGATTGTGGGAGGAAACCGGAGCATCCGGAGGAAACTCCACACAGACAGTTGCCCAAGGGAAGAATCGAACCCGGGTCCCTGGCTAAAGTTGGAACATATTTTGAGGAATGTTGGCGATTTCTGCTGTTTCCGTTCCCTTTGTTGGGTCATGGTTGACCTGTTCAAATGGAAATTTCGGTCAACATGCATGTTGTAATGAAAGATGTGTGATTTACACATTAGTACCTTTTCTTTAGAGTTTGGATTTCAAACTAGTGGCATATGGGTGTTGATCTATTTTGTAAAGCAGTTTAGACATTAACAAGATCAATCTTTCTAAAAACATGATTTTAAACCAGTATGTCCTGGAGTGTTCATGGAGGTTTGTCTATATTGTGTGGGTTTACAACAGGAGAGAGAAAACATTGAAAGATATTAGGTTGCTTTTGAGTTTGGAATAATCAATGATTGATTTTAATTTAGAGAAAACCAGAAAATGGTGAGCTTTGGGGGCAGTTTGAAGAAGACTTAACTGATCATGTACAAGTAAAGGTTCTGCCAGAAAGGAGATTGTTCAAACAGTTAAGGAAATAACTTGCCATAGTAAAAGGGCTTTGTTTGTGAAAGCTCCAGACTAGGAGTATTTGGTTAGAAACTTGCTTGGTTTATTCAAAGCAGGGCAAGTCTAAGATCTCAGTTGTGTAAGAATTCAAGAAAAAGTTTCACAGCTTACAAGAGAGGAACTGCGGAAAAAAGTAGTTTAGTCAAACCCACTGATTTGCTAGAGAAGGACGCATTCTGTAGATTGAGAAACTGTAAAGTGATGATGATGTTAGGGAGTAGACGGGATTTTGTTTTGCTGTGTTTTTAAATCTTTCAATCCTAGCGTGGGGCAGCCCAAAACTAGAGGGCATAGATTTAAGGTGAGAGGGGAAAGATTTTAAAAAAAGGCATGAGGGGTAACTTTTTCCACACAGAGGATTATGTGTCTATGGAATGAACTGCCAGAGGAAGTGGTGGAGATAGGTACAATTACAACATTTAAAAGCCATCTGTATGGGTTTATGAGATAGTAGGAACTGCAGATGCTGGAGAATCTGAGATAACAAGGTGTAGAGCTGGATGAACACAGCAGGCCAAGCAGCATCATAGGAGCAGGAAGGCTGACATTTCGGGCCTAGACCCTTCTTCAGAAATGGGGAGGGGAAGGGGGTTCTGAATTAAATAGGGAGAGGGGGGAGGCGGATAGAAGATGGATAGAGGAGAAGATAGGTGGAGAGGAGACAGACAGGTCAAAGAGACGGGGATGGAGCCAGTGAAGGTGAGTGTAGGTGGGGAGGTAGGGAGGAGATAGGTCAGTCCAGGGAGGACGGACAGGTCAAGGGGGTGGGTTGAGGTTAGTAGGTAGGAGATGGGGGTGGGGCTTGAGGTGGGAGGAGGGGATAGGTGGGAGGAAGGACAGGTTAGGGAGGCGGGGACGAACTGGGCTGATTTTGGGATGCAGTAGGGGGAGAGAAGATTTTGAAGCTTGCGAAGTCCACATTGTGAAGTCCAAGCAGAGGCTTGGGGACTGCTTTGCAGAACACCTACGCTCGGTTCGCACTGAACAACTGCAACTCCCAGTCACGAACCATTTCAACTCCCCCTCCCATTCTGCAGACGACATGTCCATCCTGGGCCTCCTGCAGTGCCACAACGATGCTACCCGAAGATTGCTGGAACAGCAACTCATATTCTGCTTGGGAACCCTGCAGCCCAATGGTATCAATGTGGACTTTACAAGCTTCAAAATCTTCCCTCCCCCTACCGCATCCCAAAACCAGCCAAGCTCATCCCCACCTCCCTAACCTGTCCTTCCTCCCACCTATCCCCTCCTCCCATCTCAAGCCCCACCTCCATCTCCTACCTACTAACCTCATCCCGCCCCCTTGACTGGTCCATCCTCCCTGGACTGACCTATCTCCTCCCTACCTCTCCACCTACACTCACCTTTACTGGCTCCATCCCCGCCTCTTTGACCTGTCTGTCTCCTCTCCACCTATCTTCTCCTCTATCCACCTCCCCCTCTCTCCCTATTTATTTCAGAACCCCCTTCCCCTCCCCCATTTCTGAAGAAGGGTCTAGGCCCGAAACGTCAGCCTTCCTGCTCCTCTGACGCTGCTTGGCCTGCTGTGTTCATCCAGCTGTACACCTTGTTATCTCTGTATGGGTTTATGAAGAGGAAAGGTTTAGAGGGATATGGGCCAAGTACTGGCCAATGGGGCTAGGTCAGATTGGGCTGTCTGGTTGGCACGAATGAGTTGGACTAAAGGGTCTGTTTCCATGCTGCATGACTGTATGTTATATTTAGGTAAATTGGTTTGGTTTAATTTACTTTTACTAATTTTGCACAATAAATTTCTCTAACAATAAAAGAGAAATCTGCAGCCTTGTGTTTCAGTAAGAGACTGTCAGTAAAAGATTGTCATGTTAAATAATATGTATCAAGCAGTAGCATCAGTGTTGATCACAATAATGTTACTTTATAAATGTTACAGTGGTTTAACATTGGGGATCTCTTCTTCAAAGAGAATTCATGGCCCTATTGGGATGTAGTTCACCCCTGATTCAGGATAACACCTGTGCTCTGTGGTGTGAGACCAGTGCATCAGCCCATTCAAAAATATAGGCATCATAAATTCATTGGAGAATGCAAATTATGCATAAGGAAGACTTTTTCAAGCATGTACAATCTGAATTCCATCTTCACTATGTTCTAAATATTTATATGGTCAGGAACATACATTGTCCTTCTTATACAATTTTTGTAAATAAAGGCATTTCATTGGTTGAATCTTAATAAAACAATTTGACTACGTGTGTTATTTTTCAATCCATCAGTGAGCCCAAAAGTGCAGTGTCAACTGCCTGACATCTAATACAAAATATCTTAAAATTATAATTATTAATCCTGAAGCTTATGTTTGTCATTCAAACAACAGTTAACATTGATTAACTTGAGAATATGGCATATGTATGTTTTGATGGAAACTAGATTGTGTCTGAACACACATTAAGGGAACTGGACGGAAGCTTTAAATAAAACATTGCTATAAGGAGACTAGAGGTTGAAGCTTTTCAATATGCATTCATCAGAATCAGGACACAAGAAACAGACTTGAACAAAAAATAAACCATTTTATATGGAATGAGAAGAGGGTGCTGACTGGTTGAGCCATCAATGACATGGAGATGTAGCAAGAACAGTTAACTGTCAATCTTAATTCTCAAACCAGGCAGTAAGCTTCTGATTGGTCATGTTGTTGCCATGGTCAATATTCTTACTGGATCTCCAAGCTAAGGAAACGGTCCAGCAAATCTTACCTCTTCTATAAGATGGTCTCAAGTCCATTTCTTGTGTCCTGGTTCTGCTGGGCGTAAGGTGAAAAGCTTCAATTTGTAGGATCCTTTTATCAATGTTTAAGTTTTGTACTATCAACCATTTATTTATAGCTTGAAATGGAATGCTGATTACACAGGCACTTACGCAATTGCATTTATTTATAAATAATATGACATTGTTTCCAGGCTCTATCATAACACGAGTTGCTTTCAGCATAGCCATCCATAGTCCTCATTATCATTTACCTAGCCTCGCTTCTTCACTGGCTTACTATGGACAAACTTTTTGTCTGCCTTACCTTTCTTCCCTGTCTGTCTCTCTCACTTCCACCTCCAACTATCCCTTACTCCTTCCCCTATCCTAACCACCATAAACAAAAATACCACCTTTTCTGAGCAGCTAACAGTTCTGAGGAAGTGTCACTGGACCCAAAACATTGTGCGTTTTGTTTTTTCCTCCCCACAGATGCTGCCAGACCCGCTGAGTTTCTCCAGCAATTGCTGGTTTTGTTTCAGATCTCTCGCATCTGCAGTTCTTCGTTTTAGTTCAGTGTTTCCCTCCTGCCGAGTTCTGCAACTGTCAGCGTTTGCATCTGCTTTAATTCAAGCGCGTCTTGCGTAGTTTGTGCTCGTGAAACTGAAGTTTATTCCGGTAGTCAGTACGTTGGCGGTGACTTGTGACCCTTTCAGTGGCTGTTGCTGTTGGGTCTCGCTTTAAGACGAACTTTTCATTTTGGAGTTGGACGATCGTAAATCCTGGAGTGGGGTGGTCAGTTCTCGCGAGAGGTGGGCCTTGGAGATGAGAGTTTGTGATGGCGACGGTATCAGGGTGGGTCGGTAACCGGGCAGAGCTGAGGGCCAGCGGCTGTGTGTTGGCGGAGCCGGAGGTGAGTGCACGCTGTGGCCGGCATCGCTTTAGTCCGCGTGTCAAGTGCCGGTTCTCGGTGTTTCAGCCGCTCTCGGGCCAAGTTTCCGGCCCCCGGCCTGTCGAGCCCCAGGGCCGGGCTCATGAAGTGACACAGTCTTCTCCCCTTGCTTTTGGTATTTTCCAAGAGAAATCAATTGGGGCCAGAAATTACTACCTTAGGCATGGACATTAGAAGTAACTCATGCCGGCGGACCTTAAGTCAATATAACAAAGTGAATAGTTGCATATACATTTGATGGAAACTTCTTTTCACGAATAACTTAATGACTTGCATTAGAACAGGTCAATAAGGACCAGGTGTATGTAATTAAGCTGGTCAAACCACTCCACCATTCAATGAGAACATGGCCAGTATGATTGTAATTTCAAATTCACATTCCAGCTGATCCCTGGTGACCTCTCACCCCCTTGTTTAACGAGAATCTACTTCTCATTTGAAAATGTTCAAGGGAGGTGAGCAAAGTTGCATTTGTGGTTATTGAAGGAAGGGGTCATCAAGTTATACAGCATGGAAACAGGCCCCTTGGCCAACGCGTCCATGCTGTTCAGGTTTTGTAAACCCTTTAAACCTTTCCTATCATGTACCTATCCAAATACCTTTTAAATGGTGTAACTGTACCTGCCTCCACCACTTCCTTTGGCAGCTCATTCCATATATGTCCCACCTTCTGTTGAAAAAGTTGACTTTTAGTTCCCTCTTATATCTTTTTCCTTTCACCTTAAACTTATGCCTTCTAGTTTTGGGCTCCCCTTCCCTGGGGAAAACATCTTGCTTCCATTCACTTTTTCAGGAAAAGCATTCCAAAGATGCTCAATCCTCTGAAGAAATTTCCTCTTGTCTCTCTTTTAAATGGTGATCCCTGGTTTTTAAACCATGATTCCTATTTCTAGATTCTTCCATAGTAGGAAATGTGTTCTCCACGTCCTTGTCAAGACTGCTCAAGATTTTATTTGTTCCACTCAAGTCACTTATTGCTCTTCTAAACTCCAGTAAATACAAGCCTAGCCTGTCCAGCCTTTGCTCATGAGACAACTCTCTCATTCAGGTATTAGTTGGTCAACCTTCAGAACTCCTGCTAGCACATTGACATCCTCCCTTCATTGGAGAGACCCATACTGTGCACAGTACTCCACTTGTAGTCTCAGCACCTCTCTAACTTCAAATAATTGTTGATCTTGCTTTGCGCACTTCCTGTACAACCATAACTTTGTATGCCATGCTCTGTAAGCACCCTGTGATCTGTATGTCCTTGTTTGCTATGATCTGCCTGTACTCCTTGCAAAACAAAGCTTTTCACTGTACTTAGGTACATGTTTGATTTGATTTATTATAGTCACAAGTGCCCTGTATAACTGAAGCATAACTTAATTATTTTGTATTCAAGTCCTCATGATGTCACATTCTATAACCTTTTATAATTTTTTGCTGTACCCACGTACTAATCTTTTATGATTAGTGTATGAGGATACCCAGATCCCTCTGCATTTCAGAGCACTGCAATCTCTCAACATTTAAGCAGTGTACTTTTTTTGCAAATGGATCATTTCAAACTTTCCTGCATTTTACTCCATTTGCCACATCTTTGTCGCATCACATAATCCAACTACGTTTTTGTTGCCCCCTTGTGTCCTGTTCACAACCGACTTTCCTGTCTGTCATCAGACAAAATGGTAACTGTACCTCCTGTCCTTTCACTTAAGTCACCAATGTAAATTGTAAGCCGTTGAGGTTCCAGCACCAAACTCTGTAGTGTAACAGTTGTTACATTTTGCCAACCGGAAAAAAGACTCACACCTAATTTCTGTCAGTCACCTAAATGTCTAACCATGTCAATTTGCCGCCCTCCATATGACAAACTTTTATTTTCTACATTGATGTTTGATGTGGCACTTTATGAAATGCGTTCTGGAAATCTAAGAACAGTGACATCCACCAATTCCCATTTATCCACAGCATGTACTAGTCAAACAATTCCAGTGGATTGGTCAAACAATTTCCTTTTCACAAAACCAAGCCTGGTTGCCTTGGACTAATGATCTAAGTGCTTGCTATAATATCTTTACAAACAGTTTCTAACATGTTCCCAGTGACTGTTGATCTAACTGAACTGTAGTTTCTTCTTTTCTGTCTTTTTAAATAAAGGAATTACACTTGCTATCTTCCAATATAATAGGATCATTCCTGGATCAAGAGGACATTGGAAAACTACAATGTATCAGATATCTCACTAGCCACTTTTAAGAGCCTGGGATGAAGGCTTTCAGGACCCAAGGACTTGTCAGCAAATTACCCCAGTACCACTTCTCTGGTGATTTTCCGGAGTTCCTCTCTCCCTTCCATTTCCTTATTTATTGCTGCTCTGAGAATGAACTTAGAACAGAACAGCACAGGAACAGATCTTTCTGCCCAACAGGCCTATGCTGACTATGATGCCATTCTAAACTAATCCTATCTGCCTGCACATGGTCCGTCTCCCTCTTGTCCCTGCCTGTTCGTGTGTCTGTCTAAATGCCTCTTAAAACATTGCTACTGTATCTCCTTCCACCACCTTTCTTGACTGGCTGTTCCACTCTCTGCATTTAAACAAAACCACTTGCACATCTCCTTTAAACTTCCCCCTCCTCACCTTGAACAATGCCTCTTGGTATTGGACATTGCTACCGTGGGAAAAAGACTCTGCCTATCCATGTTTCTCTCAATTTTATATACTTCATTAGGTTACCCCACTGCCTCTGACACTAGCAAAAACAAAGTTTGTCCAACCTGTCCTTATTGCTAATACGCTCCAGTCCAGGCGACATCCTGGTAAACCTCTTTTGCACTCTTTCTAAAGAGTCATGTCCTCCTATAGTGTGGCAATCAGAACTGCACTTCAGTACTTCACATATGGCTTAACTACAGTTGTTGGATGTATCCTCTACAGTGAAGGCTCATGGAAAATACCTGTTCCAATGCCATTCCCTTATTTTGCATTATTATTTCTTAAATTAACTTTCTATATGATCAACACGCACTTTGTTAAATCTTTTCCTTTTTAAATATTTATAGAAATTCTTACCATCTATTTTTATATTTCTGGCTAATTTTCTGTTGAGCTGTATTTTTCCATTCTTAAATTTTTAGCCATTATTTGCTTTATAATGCTTTATATTCTGTCCAATCCAATGACCTGCTACCTATGCACAGTGACTTACATTCACTAAAGTTATGCTTTTAATGATGCACATCTGTGTTCTGAGATTTCTGAGATTAGTGCTAAAACTGTCAGAAAAATGTCAGCATCTTCAATTAAATGCATATTTGGAACTATATCACCATACCTTCACGGTCACTGGATCAAAAACATTCCCTGCCTGACAAAATATACTATGTACATCTACAGTGTTAACAGACTGCATAGTTCAAGAAGGCAACTCACCATCATGCTTTCAGATGCAGTTTAGGATGGGTAATAAATGTTGGCTTTGCCAGTGACACTCCCCTCCCTTGACAAATGAGAATAAAAGCCCACAATGAGGGAGCAAAATCTTCCAAGTAATATGATCTAAAGCAGTGATCAAAGACTCAGTGCCGTGGTATTTATCACAAAGTGGTAGGCTTCAAATCAATATTATTGAGTTTTATTGGGTTAAAAGGGTTGGAGTCACTCACATTTTAATAAAGACTTCTTACAAGCTGAATGATGCCTGGCACTTTGTAGGTATAAAAAGTGGAGACTGAACAGTGCAGAGGAGACAAAAAAAAAATGCTGTTTTGGGGAACAAAAGGAGTTGAAGAGAACAATTTAAAGCCTTTAAGATCAAAGAGGAAAATGGCAAGTGAATGTGCTGAGAAAAATACAGCAAGAGCATGATCTGAATGAAAGAAAGAAAGTATAGAATGAGGTGTAGACACCTGTCACAGGAGTAGTGGGTGGCTTAAATACTTTCAAGCCCCTGGGCATACTCGTCTGAATATGTTTAATCTCATCTAAGTTTGGAAGCTAAGGCGACTGAGATTTGCTTAATACTTGGATAGGAGACTGCTGGGAATGCTACATTCAATAGGTGGTGTCATTGCCAAATGGGCATGTTTATCTTGTAAACCAAACATTGTGCATTCGATTACCTTCCACACCTGGCAGCATTTGATTTTAAGGGTCTTGCATGCAGTTTCCCTACCTCTGGGCCAGAAGTTTCAGGCTCAAAGATAACACAGTGTGGAGCTGGAGGAACACAGCAGGCCAGGCAGCATCAGAGAAGCAGGAAAACTGATGTTTCAGATCAGAACTAGGAGAGGGGGAAAAGGGAGTTCTGAAATAAATAGAGGAGGGGTGGGGCTGGGGAATGTAGGTGGGATGGTGATAGGTGAGTGCAGGTAGGCAGTGGTGGGGATTGGTCAGTGAGGTGGGAGAGAAGACAGACAGACAGACAGGTCAAGGAGGTGGGGATGAGAGGGAGGGTTGCTCATGGAATGAGGCTGGGGGTGGGGAGATTTTAAAAACAGTAAAGTTCACATTAAGACCATTAGGTTGTAAGCTCCCAAGGCGGAATGTGAGGTGCTGCTCCTCCAGTTTCCGGGTAGCGTCGTCGTGACACTGGAGGAGGCCCAGGATGGACATGTCGTCCAGGGAATGGGAGAGGGCGTTGAAGTGGTTTGCGACTGGAAGGTGTTGTCGTTTGTTGCAAACCGAGCAGAGGTGCTCTACAAAGCGGTCTCCAAGCCTCCTCTTGGTCTCACCGATGTAGAGGAGGCCACATCGGGAGCAGCGGATGTGCAGCTGAACATCTGTCTGATGTGGAAGGTTTTTTTGGGGTCTTGGATGGAGATGAGGGGGGAGGTGAAGGGGTAGGTAGTTATCTCTGACTCCAGTATCGGCAGTTCTTACTATCTCCAGATTCAGGCTCAAGTCCACCCACTGCAATTATCATAACCTGTAAAATTAGA